CGACAACGGTTGTCGAAAGATCTGTTCGGAACGACCAAGTTTCGCAGCCGTCAAGCAACACAGAACGTACTGTCGCACCATTTCAGTGAAAAGGATATATCGCAGGTTAGTAAATACCAACCTTGCTTTAATCAGGTGTTGAAATACCTCATCACCCACACCTACGCCAGTCGTTATGCAACTCCCGATGCTTCCGATCATTTCCAGAGTGGATTTATCCAGCAAAAGTGCAGGATTAGGTTCCTGCAAATCTTGCAGTGGCACTTTGAGAGTACAAACCACATAACACACCGAACGATCTCAATTTTCAAGCGGTTCAGTGTGCCTTGAATCGCCAATGCATCGTCACCCAGTCGGACAATATCATCGGCATACTCTAATTCTCCTCTACTGTCTCCAGGACGAAGCCAAACATCAGAGTTCGTCACGTTAAGTAACACTTTTGCAAGACATCATCTATGGTAAAGCTGACGAGAAACGGAGAGATAGGGCAACCCTGTCATACCCCACTGGTGACAGAAAACGTGGTTGAAAGTTCACCATAAGCCTTAATTATCCTCAAGGTTCGACGATCGAGCAATTTCAGAATCAATACATGCACCTCGGGCACTCCATATCTCAATAAACAATTCTTCAAAGCATTGCCATTGATGGAGTCGAAGTCCCAAAACACAAGAATAGTTTGTCACCTAATTAAGTGGTGGTGTTCCAGCAGGTGATGGAGAATAACGGTTTAATCTAAACAATCATGACATGCACTGAAGTTGATCTAATCTTTACAGAGTCATCAATTACGAGTGGGACCCAGTCTGCGCAATAACCGAGCGCTAAAATTTGTGGTGCCATTTGAAGAGGTATGTCCCTGCAAGCTGGAAACTTAGGTAATGCTTTGTCACAAGCTTTTCGATAACAAAGTTCACGGAGCAGAGAAAGCCTCGACCGAAAGATAGGTTGCAATATGAATGCATCTATATGTGTCACCGCGAGTGTGCGCAATACGAACAATGTGGGGACAGGAGAAAAATTTAACGACTGAGACGAGGCCGTGCGCTGCAGCGGTGTCCGTGGGACAATGCGCTGCACGAATAAGGCTTGAGAAGGTTCAGTTGACTTTTCCTTTAACGAAAATAGGTGCACGCAGGAACCAGCTTGAAATGAATCAATGAATTGAGATTGGTTACTCATACTGAACACGAACAGAATTTATTGGGAGCGTGTGGTCCATTTACTGCCCGTTGTGTAGGTGTTCGAAGAGTATCAAAACTGGCCGTTAGTGTCTTGATGGGCAATCTTCAAAGACGAGTGGTGTGCTTGACGAATGCAGTAGCAGTAGACCCAGAATGGTAATCGGGGAATGCTGAACTGACGAAATCGCCAAAAAATTGGTGAACATCCAAAGTGCAGCACATACCTGCCCTGTGTGTGGCATAAACCAAAAGGCAGTCTTCCACCTTTTGGAACAGTGCAGTTTTCATACACTTATAGACGTTCATACGTATGAATTGAAGCTCAGTACTTTTATGAAAACGGGTATTATTTTGCTTATGCTTTCTAGATGAAAGATGCATGTTTGTATTTAAGTAACCTGCATTTCGGTCAAAAATGCACCGGATAAAATATTCATACACAATTAAAAATGCAACGTGCAAAATGTAGCTAAAGTTTGGTTTATGTATACAAATTCCGATGTTATTCAACAACGATCTTCTCCTCGTTGAATACCTTGCCACAGAAACCTGGTGTTCTTTGTTCGCAGAATCTGGACAGCGAAGTTTGCATTCAGATGTAGTGTCTCAGCCTTGATTAAGTCGGATTAGTGTTTCATGACTAACACATGGTGAGATTTATACACCTTTTCTTTGTGAATTCAAAAAGGGTGAGGTAATTCTACCACTGTAGATAAACAGAGTTTTCTTGGGGTAACACAAGGGAAAGATCAATTTCATTGTTTCAGCGATAAGACTAAAGCACGACAAACAAGAATCAAACCATGACTGAACAATCATTATAGAAGAGAAACATGACTGGGTGAGAAGTCCCGTAGATGGAGTTTTATCTGATTAGAACGTATGAATGTGTGGTAGGTAGTGCGAGTATAATTTTAGTCTACTCAGAAGAGCACAATGTTCACTGGTAGTAAGTACCTGGGGCCATTAGTTTGAGAGTGGAAAAATTAGGGTAGTTTTTTATCTCTTTCCAGCACAGAACTACTTCTGCTTGGGGAATGAAATGGATCCGACGAGCCAAAAGGAAGCAGAGGGAAAATGTTAGTATCATTGAAGTCACCAACAAATAAGGGAAGAGTTTCATTGAATAGTGGAACTAAGAGCGGGATATAGAAATAAATGGAAGTAGAGATGTGACGGGAGAATTCGGGATGACGATAAGCAGTCAATACTTTTTCAGAATGGTTGAATATCACTTCGTACTTGCCATACCAGCAGAAATTGATGTACGTTACCGCGTCACCTCGTCTTTTTCTACTTTGCTGTCTATCCTGTCGGTAGCAAAAAACCAACATTTTGATCCAGACAGGCCCCTTTTTCATTACACACATCTGTGATGAAGAGCAGACAGGGTGAACCCCATAGTCAGGACGACCCCACTGTTCAGTGGTAGCA